AAGGTTGGCACTAACTGGAAGTACGCAGTCACATTTGGAGAATCTGGCACAGCTGCGCCCGACTTCATTACATGAGTCTCTGTGACGGCTGCCCTTGCGTGCTGTTATTCTTGGTAGGTATCACTCACTGATACCATGCATCTCATTAAGTTCAGGCAAAGCGTGTCGTTTAAATTAATTGTAATGTATGATATACCAAGTGAATTCAGGAAAGTGTTCTTTGTTGTTACGGACAGCAGGATGGACAAACTAAAGATTTCGAATAGGTTTTTATGACTAACGGTCCAAGATACCAGCCAAGAAAAGTTAGAAATTGTAGCTTTTAGAAACTGTAGAAAAAAGCAAAGGAGAAAAAATCAAGTTAGAAACTGTAGAAAAAAGCAAAGGAGCAAAAAGTCTTACACTAGTAATGGTAGCATCAATAAGTAATTAGCCTCGCTAACGAATAAGCAAAATGCGGCAAAAGTGTGCATTCCACAAGCAAACAATGCGTATTTCCTGCGCCTAGCGCAATCCATCCTCATTTTCGGAAAAACCATTTTGAACAGCACCCTGTCCTGTAAAATAAGTAAAATCTTGGAACTAAAATTGGTATCGATGTTTTCATAAAACAGACTTCTACCGAGGGCTTGTAGAGAACCGAAAAGCGAAAGCAGCTAACTGACCGTTCAAGAAAGTGCCAGTCTGAAGCAATAATAAGTTGGAACATATCCGACTATTTTAAAATGATTAGGGTATGGTGCGACTTTCACCACATCCTGCTCATTCATCAATTTGCATTTTTAATGAACGACCAGTAACAGCTAATTATGCATTTTTGCTTTGTAGCGCTTAGTGCTGCTACAGTGAGCAAGGGCGCGTATTGTCGAGATGTCGTCCGTGTGTGCGTTCGAAAGCGAGTAGATTTTGTCACCCACTTTCAACTCAGCAACCACAAGAAAATGTGCATATTTGTTTGGCAGGGAACGATTTTGGAAACCAAACAAGATAGAAAGCTGAAGCATTGTAGAAATATTATATATTCAAGTGCGGCCTTAATTCATCTGGAAATGAAATTCCTGTGCGTGGACATGACAAATGCTCATTTTATCGCAAACTCAAAAATGTGCGTTTTGCGGACTGCGTAATCCTTCTTCGACTTCCTTCTAATTTACATTTTTTCGATGAACAACCTTTCACCGGAAAAATAACCAGGATCCATGCAAAAAACTGACAATCATGCACTCTGTAGGTTCAAGCGATCCCATGATGCAACACTACCATCTCAACCTGTATGCAGGGAAACGCTAGGACACCGCTAACACATGTTCAAACTGTAACTCAGAAACCAACCTCG